TTAAAAAAAATTAACTTTGAAAGACTAAAGAATCATTGTAAAAAAGCCATGGATTCTATGTGCATTATTCCCCTAGCGCTGGAGTTCTGCCGTTCTCATTGATTGGTAAACTTGGTCTTGGCTGGCTGTTCTCGCTGATCTTCTGGGGGAGGGGCCTGTTGCCGTGGTTCCCAAATGTCTTTGCCAAGGCAGAATTGCCCCACCCTTGCTGGGTCCAGGCTAAGTAATCTGCTCAGATTTGCTCTCGGGAGCTTTTGTTCCCTGCAAGCTTTCCGTACAGCTTTGGAGGAGGAGAGTGAAATGGTGGCCTCCCAATCTCTGCCCTAGAGGAGCCGAGAACTTGGGACCCCACTCCTCAGTGCGCTCCCAGAGAAAAACAGTCAATCACTCCTGTCTCCCTGGTCTCCGGCCGCACTCCGTGCTCACCCGGCCTGTGACCGAGCATTTCTATCTCTGGCACCCGACCCCGTGTGGAGCCTCCAAACCCAGCAGATCCCTGCAGTGCGCTCCTGTGCAGCTCCTCCCAGGGGAGGAAGGTGAATCTCCCTGGTTCTGCTGCTTGTTGAGTCCCTGCTGGAGGAGCATTGGCCTGACTGTGCCACGGATCACGGTTTATGACAACCCCGAGCTGAGAGCCCGCGCCTCAGCTCCATCTCTGCAGCCAGCTTCCCTGTTCTGATACCTGGGAGCTCTGCCGCACTCAGGCACCCCCGGTCTTCCTGTGACCCCGAGAGTCCTGAGACCACACTGTCCCACAAGGGTTCCAGCCCCCGCTTAGCCACTGGAGCGATGTCCCTCAGCGGAGCAGACTTCTAAAACTTCTGATTTTGTGCTCCGCTGCTCTATCACTTGCCAGTAGCAGCCAACGGAGGCCCCCTCCCCCGCCATCTATCTTCCCGAATATCGCCTCGGATTCACTTCTCCACACGTCCTACCTTCCAGAAAGTGGTCACTTTTCTGTTCAGAGAGTTGCTGCTATTCTTTTCTTCGATCTCCTGTTGAGTTCTTAGGTGTTCAGAATGGTTTGATCCCTACCTAGCTGAATTCCTGGGACCAGACGAAATTTAGGTCTCCTACTCCTCCGCCATCTTGCTCCTCCCCCGAGCATTTTATTATTTTATAAATAATTATTTCAGTATGTTTCTGTGCAAAATGAGAACATGTAACAGGGCCATTATCACACCCTAAAAATTAATTATTAATCATCAAATATGCAGTTAATGTTCAGATTTCCCAGTTGTCTCAATGACTTTTACAATTGGTTTGTTGAACCTAAATCGAAACAAAACCATCACATGCTTGATATGCCTCTTAAATCTTTTAATCTACAGATTCTTTCTCTGACTTATTTGTGGCAGACACAGGGTCACTTGTCTTCAGTGTTTTGTGTATTCTGGACTCATCCAATTGCATTTCTCTATGTCATTTGTCATGTTCCTTTATCTCCTATATTTCCTGCAAGCTTGGATTTAGATCTAGAGGTTTGAGATTTGGGTCTGAGTTTTTTTTTCTTTTTGGTAAGACTTCTGCGTAGGTGGTTTTGTGTACTTCCTATTGCATCACATCAGGAAACATAATATGTCTAGTTGTCTCTCTTTCTGTGATGTTAAGATTCATCAGTACATTACAGTGTTATCAAGTGAATGTATAAACTATAAATTTTCCTGTTGGCTTTTCACATAATGATTTTAGCAGCCCCTGATGATTGTTGCCTAAATCCATTGTGTCATTGGGATTGCACGATGGCTGTATTCTATCACTCCCTCTTCATGTATTAGTTGATATTCTCCTCTAAAGAAAGACTTTCCCTTATTAAATATTCAAATACTAAACCGAGATACAGTTCTTCAAGAAAGACAGGAGACATGTTTTATTCTTTCTCTTTGTTTTCTGGTTTTCAGAATAATAAATTGGTTCTCCAGCATCCTACAAAAGTGATCAATAGGTTGAGTTTTTTTTTTTTTTAAGCATCTTATGAACTCATGATTTTAACATTTGGCTGTTCTTCAATTCATCGTGGTTACTGTTCTTTTTGATGCCCAAATTGTTCCATCTTTGACAAGGGGGAACTTCTTGAATTTAGCCCCTGTGAATTGGACTTTTAAGAACCAAAACAAAGGGGGACACCTGGATGACTCAGGCGGTTGAGCATCCAGTTTTTGGTTTAGGCTCAGGTCATGATCTCGGAGTCCTGGGGTTGAGCCCTGCATCAGGCTCTGCACTCAGTGCTCAGCATGTCTGTTTGGGATTCTCTCTCTCCCTCTGCCCCTCCCCCTGCTCACACACACTCTTTCACTCTCTCAAATAAATAAATAAATAAAATCTCAAAACATAACAAAACAAAGGGATTATGTATTTTTATGAATGTTTTCTGAAAGTTATGAGAAAATATTGGGCCTCTGAAGGTTACATTTAGGTGAGGACAAAGACAAATCCCAGTGAGTGGGCTTGAGTGTATTATGAGAAAGAATAAAATTACTTATGATTGCACTTCATGAAGACCTGGCAAATGAAAGGCATCTATTACAACAGTTACTGATGATATTTTGCTTTCCCAGATGAGAACACTTTGTGAAGTCAGTAAATCTTTCAACCTGAACCAAATAGGTATAAATCTACCCTTCTCAAAGGGGTTTACAGTCGATTTTGAAATATAGTACTACATTAGTTAACACTAGATTTGGTGTTAGTGACAACTTCAAAATAACAGAGGCTTAGAAAATGTAGTTTTATTTCTCTTTATGTTAAAAAAGAAAGTTTATTCCACGCTGGCATGGAGGATCCAAGGTTATTAGGAAATACGGCTCTTTCTACCTTACCCTCTGTTGTCCTCAACGTGCACTTTTCACCTCATGATATAAAATAGCTCCTCCAGCTCCAACCATCATATCCACATTCTAGTCAGTAGGAAGGAAGAAAAAGAGAAGGAAAAGAGTATGATGACGGCCATTAAGGACATCCCCTGGAAGTTGCACTCATCACATCTGCTATGTTCTGTTGGCTAAAAAATAGTCTTGTGACTGAAAAATGTAGCTTTTATTCTGGAAGCCATATGCCCAGATAAGCTTTAGGAAGTCAGTTACTCAGAAGGAAGGGGCGGGGGGAGTAGCTGTTTAGGGAAAACAGCATTCCTTGCCTCAAGCCCATATTCAGAGAGGAAAAAAAATACTACATCTTTTAGCAGTGTATTTCCACACATGTCTTAAAACCTCAGAATGTGGGAGAGGGGATCATGTAAAGTATCCCCCTTCCCCACCCTCTTGAGTGTCTTGACTATGCTGGAGCATCCATCATATGAAACAAAATTAAGCTGTAGTCTGATAATTTACATTCAAAACAGAAAAGTTTAGATGGTTGCTCTCCTATCCAGCAATAACGATTATTTTGTTTCATTATTTATCCCTGTCCAGTATACACTATCTCTGCTTCCACTGATATTTCTTGGTTATTTACTTCATGCCAGAAGTAAGGCTCACATATTATACTTCAACCATGTGCTATTTCTAAGGCAAGATATGTGACTAGCACCCACCATTCAGAGTTTATGGGATTCAGTCCTCAAAAGGAGGCTACAAGAAGACTAAGGATCAGAGAGAGTAAGTAGCTTACTCAAAGAGAAGTAACTTAGTAAATAACAGAAATGGGATTCCAACACAAGTTTCTTTATCTCAAAGCCCAAACATGCTTTGTTTTTTTATGCCATTCATACTTGTTTTCTGCTCTTCCACTAAGTTTTAGGATAGGAAAGTAATCATCTATTTGTAACTCCTATGGGCTTTCATTTAAATTTTAAAAAACAATAAACTTCAATATATTTCTCTTAAGTGTTTTATGGTCATTGTCTCTTTTAACTGTCTAACCCAGTTTGATGATTATTCATTTGATGCATTTTTTTTTAACAACCTTTATATGCACCAGGCATTGTGATTGTTGCTGAATATATAACAGTGAGCAAAACCACACATAGTCCTTACCATCATGGAGCATCTAGAATAGTGGGGAAGAGAAACACTAATGCAAAAATCACCCTCCAGATGTACAATGACAACTGTCATAATGGGTATCAAGAGAAAGGTATAAGGGATCATCTGCATATAATTGGCAAATTTGACTTAGGAAAGCCTGGAAGGCTTCCTGAGGAAGTGACATGCAGGCTAAGACTTGCAGTATAATTTAGAGTTAAAGCAGGCAAAGCAGGGGAGAGAAGCTGTTTTGAGGCAAAACAAGCAGATGTTCGAAGTGGTGTAAGGGGCATGCATGGGGGCTGGAGTAAGAATGGGTGAGCAAGCTGTGAAATGAGACTGGCAAGGAAACCAGAGAGCAACCCTGCAGTGCCTTGTATAGGGACACTGTTATCCCCTTTCACAGATGAAAAACCTGAGGCTCAGAGCTCTTGAGTAATTTGCCTAGAGTCTCACAGCTAGTTAGGTGGTGGAGCCAGAATTCACACTGTGGTAGATAGAATAATGGATCCCCTAAAAATGTTGATGCCCAATCCCTGGAACCTGTGAATGTGTTAGGTTACATGGCAAAGGGGAATTAAGGTAGAAGATGGAATTAAGGTTGCAATAAACTGACCTTAATATAGGGTGATTATTTTAGATTATCTCGGCAGGCCCAGGGTAAGTAAGCTCAAGGGTCCTTAAATTTGGAAGAGGGAGACAGAAGAGCGTACGGTTGTATAAGGTGAGAGAACTTGACCAGCTGTTGTTGGCTTTGAAGATGGAAGAAGGAAATCAAGAGCCAAGGAATACAGGTGGTCCTAGAAGCTGAGAGGGCGAGGAAAGAGATTCTACCCTAGGGATCCTCCAGAAAAGATTGTAGGCCTGCTGAAACCTGAATGTTAGCCCAATGAGACCCATTTGGGACTTCTGAACTGCAGAATTATAAGATAATAAACTGTGAGCCACTGAATTTATGATAATTTGTTACAGCAGCAAGAAGAAACTAACACAAAAACTATACCCATTGGCTCCAGAGCCTGTGTCCCTCCACCCCCGTGCGCAACATGCCTTAACTTTCAGCCGGGCTAACCCAAGGACTGTAAAGATGAAACTCTAATACTTCTTATCATTTTGAGTCTGTCTTCATATATCATTTCCAAACCATACGGCAAAGGGTATGTATAGATTTTACATACGTCTCTTGGTTTTGTGAATTTCGAAAGGATGTGGTTATAGCCTTTGACATCAGAGGAGAAGCTCCACATTGTTGACTGAACACTGATCGAAAGATAACGCTGGAGGCAAGAGGCCTTTTAACAGCTCTCTGAAAATCAACTGCCTCCCGAGTGTGTGCCTCGTGCCCGAAGCAGTTTCCACTGGCCGTACCACGGGGTGATGCCCAAGGTGCATCACTTCCCAAGAATTGGATCATGAACAACTTTATCCTCCTGGAGGAACAGCTCATCAAGAAATCGCAACAAAAAAGAAGAACTTCTCCCTCAAACTTCAAAGTCCGTTTCTTTGTTTTAACCAAAACCAGCCTGGCGTACTTTGAGAACCGTCATGGGGTATGTGAGCACTTTGTCTTGTCTTTTTTTAAACAGTATTTTTTTTATTTAGAGTGGGCTGAATTATGAAGATATACGTGGAGTAAAGTAAAGCCAAAGGAGGCACAGACATGCTTGTTAAATAACAATAAGAGTCATCAGAAGAGAATGTGGAAAAAAGTCCAGAGGTGGGGTGGTTGTATTAGGTGGTTTTAGTTCTAAAATCTGCAAAAGAATAAGTTTAATATTCATTAGTGGTTTTTTTTCCTGCAAGTTTAAGTTTAATTTTAAAATTATAATATTTTATGTGGCAAATGTTATGATTGGATAGAATATGAACTTCATCTGAAATATACTAGATTTTATGGGACATAGATTAATAAAATATTAGCATTTAATGGGACTTAAGGGATGGATGATCTAGCCCAGTTTCCTTAATTTATAGTGGGGAAAACTGATACTTGGAATGGTTAAGTGATAAGTTCAGTGTCAGTGTTTTTATTAATTTAATTCTATTTGTCCCAATGGTCATTACTCACTTAATATCTTGGAATAATATTCCCCGGGCATTTAATTATCTAAAATTTGCAAGGTCCAATGGTAAACCTCTTTATCCCTTGGAAAACTTAGCAGGAGACAGGGGCTGTCAGAGTGTTATACAGTATAGACCAGGGGTTCTTATCCAGAAGAGTACAGCTGTTTAGCTAGGTCAGTCTTTTTATATACCTAGAGATATTCTTATATTCCACAACATCAGTGATAATGTTACGATTGTTCCTGTTGCTCTTATTATCACTGATAATAATACTGTTATTAGACCAAACTCTACTCCTCTCTAGGTGACTGAGCCTGGGCAAATGTCTCTACCTTTTGCATCAGATTCTTTCTTTCCAACATGAAAGATCTGGAAATACTACCTACAACATTCCTTTCTTCTTTAAAAATTCCAGCACCTGCTGAGCCCTTCTCAGCAAATTTTCAAAGCATGTGTGTGACTTCTTACTATGTCATTGTATTATTTTTTTCCATCATTAGGGAGGGAAAGCAGGGGTTTTCACTGATATGTTACTGTAGGGGAAGTAACATTAGGTGCTTGGTGGTCACTGAGAGACAAAGGCATCCCCATTCCTTGTTGGGATCTGACTTGGTAGGTTTCGGCATGAGTTTGGAATCTTTTGAGAGCAGGCTTTAAAGTGTTCAATGAAATAGAGCCCTGAAGGAGGCCAGGCTGGGTATGAAGCCTATGGATGTTGCAGGTGAAATCAGACTGCTTCTTCTTTAGAGGGTCAGACATGCTCATCTTCAGCAGACTCGTATTGAAAACAATCAGTAATCAATCTGAAGGCATATGGAATTATTTTTGGACAGGGCCCCTTTGCTAGATACTCAGTAATTATTTATTGACTAAGTTAACAGAGGGTTAGCAGTCAACTTGGAGGACTTATCATACACAGCTGATAAATCACATGGCATCAGTCAATTTTCTCTCTTCCTGTGATATTAGAACTTCTTGTTTCATATTGAAAGAGCAGCCATTTCTTTTAAATATTTTTTTCAAAGCCCATTTTATAGCTCTCTCCAATTCGTTTTCCTGACATTTGTTTTCCAGGTATCATCAGCTTTAGTTAGTACTGATTATTTTTGAGCAGTGTTGCTGTTTGTGGGCTGTTTGGTTGTGAATTTAGTACAATATTATTTGCAAATAATCACACGACCAAATGGTCTTGATTCCGAATTTTGTTGGTTATAATTTGCATATAGGCAATGTTGTAAAATCACTCCCTTATTCATTTATTTTTTTTTAATTTTATTTATTTATTTGAGAGAGAGAGGAAGAGAGAGAAAGCACAAGCAGAGGGAGGGGCAGAGGGAGAAGCAGGCTGTCTGCTGAGCAGGGAACCCCATGCAGGGCTCAATCCCAGGACCTTGGGATCACGACCTGAGCCGAAGGCAGACGCTTAACCAACTGAACCATCCAGGTGCCCCTCACTTATTCATTTAAGTATTATAAAAAAAATTCCGGGGCACTTAATTCTGGGGAACCTTAAGCTGTAGTTCCTAACATTTCTATATGGGATATAGCAGATACATAGTGCACAAACATCAAATTTTTTGTGTTCTAATGCCTATGGTTTATATTCATATACAACATTGATAAAAGCATTTCTTCAAATATAAAAATCATTGGTTAGAAATTTATCCAAGGTCACTGAGAAAGTAAGGTATGTGAGCTATTACTATTCATACCCTATGTATGTTCCATTGTTTTGAGCCATTGATTTGCACACAAATGTGCACTGTATATCACCTATAGGTAACAACAGCAGAACGCTTATGGGAAGAAACGTTTTTAAAAAAAATTAAAGCCTTGGGACGCCTGGGTGGCTCAGATGGTTAAGCATCTGCCTTCGGCTCAGGTCATGATCCCAGGGTCCTGGGATCGAGCCCCACATCGGGCTCTGTGCTCAGCAGGGAGCCTGCTTCTCCCTCTCCCTCTGCCTGCCTGTCTGCCTACTTGTGATCTCTCTCTCTGTCAAATAAATAAATAAAATCTTTAAAAAAAAAAATTAAAGCCTTAGTCTTATCATCTGTGAAGTGGGTGTGATAATAGTACTCATTTCATGAGAATATGGTAAAGATTAACAGATAGAATGCATTTAGACTGAACTATTTGAAATTACTACTCAGTAGATTAAAAAAGGCCAGATATTGGGGCACCTGGGTGGCTCAGTCGTTGGGCGTCTGCCTTCGGCTCAGGTCATGATCCCAGGCTCCTGAGATGGAGCCCCGCATTGGGCTCCCTGCTCTGCGGGAAGCCTGCTTCTCCCTCTCCCACTCCCCCTGCTTGTGTTCCCTCTCTCACTGTCTCTCTCTGTCAAATAAATAAATCAAATCTTTAAAAAATAAAAAGGCCAGATATTAGCAATTTCATAGAGTTCAACTTAATTATGAAGTACTTAGCATAAGCCCTGCCACCTAGTAAGCACCTAGTAAAAAGTAGCCATTATTTGTATCATCATCATGTCTCCGAAGGAGCAAGCAGGGTGGCATAACATATTCATTTTCAAATGAAGGAAAACAGTAAAGTATTCTTCAAAGTCAGGCTAACATCAGGGGCCTGGATTCTTTCTATTCAGTGACTAAATGCCAAGTCTGTGGAGAGAGACATGTATGCATGATGCAATGTGGGATGCTGAGCCAACCACTGTCCCTCTCGGGGTCACAGCTTCTTTTTCTCTTTTCTTACCTGTAAAATTATGTTCCTTGCAGTTTTAAAATTCTGTGGATTTATGACATCGTATGAAAAATAATCCTACCTGCTCAGAAAAAAATCCTGTAATCCTGCAAATAAAGTATGTTTTTTCTAACTTTAAATATCCATATGTCTAAACGTCCATCCCGATGGAGCCTCTTATTTTAACACGGATTTGGTTCTGGTGTCTGGTAGTGAAATGTGCAAGCGTCTTCTGGGGAGCCAGGAAGCACCCTCACCGTGCTGCAGTGGGCCAGAAAGAGGCCTGCAGTTGGCAGGTCCTGGCTCACTGGCGGGCGTACTTGCAGACCCCACCGTGTGCCTGCCAGTTTCTTTGCAAAGTGGTCTGTGATGCCTGGCATTCTTTAGCGGAGGACAGTGAGATCAGGGCCCCATAGTGTGCTGGTAAAGGTTTAAAACTCTGTGCTGGTCGTGGCGGCGGAGGGTATCAGGGAGCCCCAATGCATAGTGTTTGCTGATTTCTCTGGTGTAAATACTCCCATCATGGCCCATTTCAAACTACCGTTGTGATATCTACTGGCTCCCAAAATTCCTCGAAATTTAACCATCAGCCCCCATGGGCCACAGCAAGCCAACTCCGACACACCGCTGGGCAGCTTTATAAGCAAATGATGTCCAGAGAGGTGATTACCAGCTGGGCAACATGCCTCGTTGCTCATGAGTGAGACCAGATCCTTTCCAGGGGTCAAAGAGAAATGGAGGGCCTTGGGTCCTCCCAGTAAGCACGGGAGGGAAGGGGCAGCATAGATGGGGACAAGCATCACTGACTGGTGAGGCCGGTATAGCCAGCTAGAGCTGGATTCAAATTCCGGCTCTATCACTTTCTGGATGTGGATCTCAAGCAAGGTATTTAACCTCTTTAAGCCTCTGTTTGCTATTTGTAAAGTGAGGACCCTGATCCTACCTACCTCAGGCGATGTTGAGTATTTCATGAGAGAGGCATGTGAGAAGCTTGGCCGTACTGGTCGCACTTCAGTCTTCGGAAGGACCCTCAGGAGAACCGCAAAGCTTTCCCTGTTTTAATGTCTCTGCACCTTTGGGATCAAGCTTGTGCTGCTCACAAGTGTGTGGGAGCCATTCCATGTATGTGGGGCAGGATGAACCGTCAAGGCCACGTGCTAGTCAGTGTCTGGTCAAGGGTCTCCACTCCGCACGGTCTCTTCCCGTTAGCCTGCGGTCTGATCTAGCAGCAGAAACATCTCTTGGAATATGCATCCTTCTTAAATTAAAGATGGCAGATGGGGAGATGGTCCCCTTTCCTTGCTTTTTCTTCGCTTTTCCTTGCACGTCAGTCAAAGACATAGCTTCAGGTGTCAGGCACATCTGGGTCGAAGACCGGCTCCCCACTTATAAGCTATGCAGCTTTGCGTAAGTTGCTTAAGGCTGTGTGACTCTATATAAAGCTATTTACATTTTTTGTAATGATTAAACATTCCGTCTTCATCTTGCTTCCTTTTAATGAGAGGGAGGTTACCATTATTCCAATAATAATAGTAACTAATATTTACTTAACACTTACTAGGTATCAGTCACTGTGCTAAATGTGGATTATTTCATCTAATCCTTACCACCACCCTATAAATTAGGAAGTACTATTACCCTAATTTACAGAGCAGGTAGCAGAGGCAAAGAAAATTTCAGTAACTTCTGTGTTGGAAGAATTTAAATAACTGCCATATATCTCTAAGGCCTACACCCCCCCACCGATAAATGGTGCTTATTACCATTAGCAGTAGCGACCCATGAC